CTCTTCTTCATCTTCTGGTATCACTCAGCCCTCCTCTTCATCAGCTGGTATCATTCGTGTTTCCTCAGATCATTACGTTCGGCTCTTTTAACACGTTCTCAATGATCGACACCCTTCAGTTAGTAAGTTAGGTGTATGAAAGTGATGTGACGAGCGAACGATCCGATTCTTTTGAACGGCTCTTCGGTACGAGGGAACCGAGTCGTACCAAAGAGCCGTTCTTTTTATCGTTGGTTCTCCGCCTGCCGTAAATCCACTCGCCTTTAAAGGAACCTGCTCTCCTGACTGCACATGAGCCGTAGAGATGATGGCGTAACGCACGCTGCTTGAGTAGGAGTTCGGCTGAGAGATGAAGCAAGTTATACATTCTGTGAGTAAAAGTAGATTCCTGGCGATACAGTCAATCACTATCCTGGTGATTCCCTACTAACCCCGCCCCCTTTTCACGACCTTTAGTTGACCTCCTGTTGTTTTTAATTTTGTTTATTGTTCCAACTTGACTTCTTATCCTAACCCTAACCCCTACTTGGATTTGACCCCTGATTTGACCCCGGTGTCTCACCTATCCGGATGAGAGCCGTTCAAGGAGCCATAAGATCCGGCTCCCATAGTGTATAATACAATAAGGAAAACAACCTGCAGCTAGCTCCTGCTTCATATTGAAATTCTATCAATTTAAACAACATTTCGTGCAATTTAAACGCCTTTTTCAACTAATTGTAGCCCCAACAATGTGCAGAGATTCAAATAAACAACACCCTGGAGTTATTGAAGTACGCTAATACATCTGAGGGAACCAACAGAGTGATCTGAGGGAACCAACAGAGTGATCTGAGGGAACCAACAGAGTGATCTGAGGAAACAAGTGAGTGATCTGAGGGAACCAACAGAGTGATCTGAGGGAACCAACAGAGTGATCTGAGGGAACAAACGGAGTGATCTGAGGGAACAAACAGAGTGATCTGAGGGAAACAAGTGAGTGATCTGAGGGAACCAACAGAGTGATCTGAGGGAACCAACAGAGTGATCTGAGGGAACCAACAGAGTGATCTGAAGGAACCAACAGAGTGATCTGAGGGAACCAACAGAGTGTGAGGGAACCAACAGAGTGATCCGAGGGAACAAACAGAGTGATCTGAGGGAACCAACAGAGTGATCTGAGGGAACAAACAGAGTGTGAGGGAACCAACAGAGTGTGAGGGAACCAACAGAGTGATCTGAGGGAACAAACAGAGTGTGAGGGAACCAACAGAGTGATCTGAGGGAACCAACAGAGTGTGAGGGAACCAACAGAGTGATCTGAGGGAACAAACAGAGTGTGAGGGAACCAACAGAGTGTGAGGGAACCAACAGAGTGATCTGAGGGAACAAACAGAGTGTGAGGGAACCAACAGAGTGTGAGGGAACCAACAGAGTGATCTGAGGGAACCAACAGAGTGATCTGAGGGAACGAACAGAGTGTGAGAGAACCAACAGAGTGATCTGAGGGAACCAACAGAGTGATCTGAGGGAACAAACAGAGTGTGAGGGAACCAACAGAGTGATCTGAGGGAACCAACAGAGTGATCTGAGGGAACAAACAGAGTGATCTGAGGGAACAAACAGAGTGATCTGAGGGAACCAACAGAGTGATCTGAGGGAACAAACAGAGTGATCTGAGGGAACCAACAGAGTGATCTGAGGGAACAAACAGAGTGATCTGAGGGAACAAACAGAGTGATCTGAGGGAACAAACAGAGTGTGAGGGAACCAACAGAGTGATCTGAGGGAACAAACAGAGTGATCTGAGGGAACAAACAGAGTGATCTGAGGGAACCAACAGAGTGTGAGGGAACCAACAGAGTGATCTGAGGGAACAAACAGAGTGATCTGAGGGAACAAACAGAGTGATCTGAGGGAACCAACAGAGTGATCTGAGGGAACAAACAGAGTGTGAGGGAAACAAACAGAGTGATCTGAGGGAACCAACAGAGTGATCTGAGGGAACCAACAGAGTGATCTGAGGGAACAAACAGAGTGATCTGAGGGAACAAACAGAGTGATCTGAGGGAACAAACAGAGTGATCTGAGGGAACCAACAGAGTGATCTGAGGGAACCAACAGAGTGATCTGTTGCAGTAAACGTGGAGTCTCTGGAGCTCCTTCCTCTGTGAGATGCACTGAATGCATTGCTATAATCTCCTGTGTCTTTTCTATCCTTTAGATATTTAAATGATCTCATGAATTGATCCGATCCGTGACTTGTAATAAAGACAGCAATTTAAAAATGAAACAAGTGTCCGCCTCACGTCTCTCGTTTCATCTCAGAGGAAAACCCAAAGTGTGTTTTATAGAAGACGGGAAATAAAAGTGTATTTCATTTGGTTTTTAAAGAAGTCATGTGACAGGAGGTGTGATCCCGACATGTGACAGGAGGTGTGACCCCGACATGTGACAGGAGGTGTGACCCCGACATGTGACAGGAGGTGGGACCCCGACATGTGACAGGAGGTGGGACCCCGACATGTGACAGGAGGTGGGACCCCGACATGTGACAGGAGGTGGGACCCCGACATGTGACAGGAGGTGGGACCCCGACATGTGACAGGAGGTGGGACCCCGACATGTGACAGGAGGTGGGACCCCGACATGTGACAGGAGGTGGGACCCCGACATGTGACAGGAGGTGTGACCCCGACATGTGACAGGAGGTGGGACCCCGACATGTGACAGAGTGACCCCGACATGTGACAGGAGGTGTGACCCCGACATGTGACAGGAGGTGTGACCCCGACATGTGGGACCCCGACATGTGACAGGAGGTGTGACCCCGACATGTGGGACCCCGACATGTGACAGGAGGTGGGACCCCGAGATGTGACAGGGTGGGACCCCGACATGTGGGACCCCGACATGTGACAGGAGGTGGGACCCCGACATGTGACAGGGTGGGACCCCGACATGTGGGACCCCGACATGTGACAGGAGGTGGGACCCCGACATGTGACAGGGTGGGACCCCGACATGTGGGACCCCGACATGTGACAGGAGGTGGGACCCCGACATGTGGGACCCCGACATGTGACAGGAGGTGGGACCCCGAGATGTGACAGGGTGGGACCCCGACATGTGGGACCCCGACATGTGACAGGAGGTGGGACCCCGACATGTGACAGAGTGACCCCGACATGTGACAGGAGGGGTGACCCCGACATGTGACAGGAGGTGTGAGGTAGGAGGTGTGACCCCGACATGTGACAGGAGGGGTGACCCCGACATGTGACAGGAGGTGGGACCCTGACATGTGACTGGAAGAAGACCCCCCAAACTCATTGTCAAAGGTCATTGTGTGTAGTTTTGTGTCTCTTAGTGGACATTTGAGGTTGTGTGCTTACATCTTTCGATGTTTTGTATTTTCAGCGGCTTTGTTTGTGTTCTTGTTATACGTTTATTCTAATTTTGATCACTTGTGAGTTATTTTGCATCTATTTCTGATCATTTTGCATCTTATTATGGTGTTTATTATCTATTTCTTGAATGCATTAGTCTCTGTAGGAGCAAAGGTGTTTAGAGGAAGGGGTTTGCATCAATTTTAAGACATTATGCATCTTTGGAGAAGTTCTTATGCCACTTTCTGTCTATGTTCTGGTTGTTTTATGCCTCACATTGTGGTAATTTCACAACCACAGTGGTTTAGCGCCCCCTAGTGGTCCTTCTGCGTCTCTTCAGTGTGTTTGCAACTAACTGTGGTTGTTTCGCGTGTAACCATTTTGCATTTCTTACTAGTAACGTTGGTTCCCTTTGTTTTTGTGCAGGCCTATCGGTGTGTAAAGAGACTTTTCCACATCCTAAAAGCATGAATCACTATTCACACACACACACACACACACACACACACACACACACACACACACACACACACACACACACACACACACACACACACACACACACACACACCGAGGATCCCTCCCACTCCCACACATGGGTCTGCACTCTGCACACACTGGTGATCTGTGTGAAAACAAAGCTCAGTAACGAATGCAGTATGTAAATCATCAGGGGGTAATGAGGGTCTCACGGTGCTCGCAGAGAATAGAGGAGTAAAAGCAGAGGAGGTCACATGGAGGGAGATCACATGACGCCATGCTGCAGAAACAGAGGGGGGGGGGGGTTGTGGGTTTAGAGTCAGGAGCTATTTTCTTAAAGATAATAAAAACATTACAAAACATGAAGAACTCAAATCCGCTTGAATACAAGAAAAACACATTAAATAAAGTGGATAGGGAAGCTTTAACAAATAAACATATTATATTTAACAGAAAATTCGATCATCAGTTAATCTTCTTCTTTGTGCAATTTTTCACTCAAAGATGTTCGGATTTATTTTCTCTGTTTGGATTTTTGTGTTTATTTATCTAAAGACATTTAAAGACATTTAAAGACATTTAAAGATATCACAAGAGCTGCAAGTCGACAGAATGGGTTTTTATTCAATTTAAAACAAGGTGATTTATTGTCACTAGTCCACTCATCCAGACTATATGTTTCCTTCCTCACCTCCTCCCCTCTTTCCCTTCTTTCCTTTCCTTCCCCTTCCTCCCTTTATGTTTCCTTCCTCACCTCCTCCCCTCTTTCCTTCTTTCCTTTCCTTCCCCTACCTCCCTTTATGTTTCCTTCCTCACCATTCTTTAGTATTTTTTTATATATATATATTTATTTTTTAGTATTTTTTATATTTGTATTTTTTATATGTTTTTGTTGTACCTTGTTCATAAAAACAAACATTAATATTGGAAATGTACATTTTATTTTCATTTTTTAATTACAGCAAAACAAGTTAAACAGAGAATATAACATTTAAAAAAACAATAGTAAAAATTCATTAATTCTTTAATCTTATTTAGTTTACTTTTGTCTATTTGTATTTATTCTTCTTATTTTTTTCTGGTGTGTTACCTCGTGTTGTTTTAAGGGGTCCAGCTTTCAGACATCTCTCACAGGTCTGCTTTAAACACCCTGAAAAGGTGCTAAATATAATGAGAGGAAGTGAATTCCGCAATAAAACGTCACTTTGCACCCGATTTAAATACTATAATTTATGTAAATACCACATATGACGTCGTGAAAGCACATTCATCAAATAGGAAATGTCTTAATTAATCTAATAATACCCATAAAGTGTAAAATACCTAATGATTATAGACTCTAATTTAAACTAATAGTAATATAATAAAATCAGTTAAAATCTCATCCATCAAGCCCTGTCATCAGCCTCGTTCCAGCCAATCGGTGCACCCTTACCCCCCTCAAGTCGACCAATCAGCGCTGTCCACGAGGTTCAGCTCCGGTAGAGGGCGGGCACCTTCTCGTCCGACTGAGATTCCCCGTCGACCAATCCGGTGTTGACAGTTGCCAGGAAACGTCAGATGTAGCCAATCAGCGACGGCAGGGGGGAGTTGAGCCGTGCCCTCCGATACCCCACGTGACGCTCCTCAGTAGTTCCCAGGCGGTCAAACATCCAACAGACGAGGTGAGTAAAGAGACCGAAAAAATACTATCTTTACGGGTAAACACAGCGGGATAGCACCGCCTTACGACAAATGTGGTGTTGTTTAAACCATCTGTGTTCTTATGTGTTAAAAAAGTCAGTGTTTTAGCCGTTAGAAATTAAGATGTTCCTTCCACAGCATGCTGTTAGCATAAGTGGCTAATTAACTACAGGTGAAATGAGCTAGCTCGTTAACATGCTGCGTTAAACACTACATATAAAACATTAAACATGTAAAGGAAAATGTTTCTTTACGTCCAGGGGAATAAAAGTGTAATTGTGTTTGTTTAAATAAACTTGAAGTCTATGTGGCTTCTCCTTAGCAGCACCGAAGCTAATGCTAAGCTAACCTAATCTGACGTGTTCGTATTAAATGAGGGTGGAGATTTATTATCTGAAGTAACAAGCAAATGTGGGTTAAAATGCAAATATCAAGCGATGCAAAACACGGGTTGATATCCACGAATGAATGAGTTTGTCGGTAAGCATGTTAGCTTCTTATGTCTCGGCAAATGCACTTTAAAAAACGTAAAACACCTGATTTACAAATGGACTAAGATGTGCTAAAATGGCTCAAGATGCAAAATGCATGAAGCTAGGTGTGTTGCAAACGAGCATAAAAAAGAACAAGGCTGCCAACTAATGATTATATGCCAACTGTCAATTAGTTATCTCCCTGAATGAGTATGTCAGTTAGCATGTTAGCTTCTTATGACTCGATTAAAGGGGTTTTATTCCCAGGCAACTTCAGTAAAATGATTCAAAAATACACTAAATATATGAAGCTAGGTCTGTTGGAATAAATCATAAAAAGGTCCAAGGCTGCAAACCAATGATTATTATCTTCATTAATCATTCACTTTACACACAAAACCCTTAAATATGTTGCATTTAAAAAGATAAGAACATGACTGAAGGAGCTGCAAAGTGAGAAACTGTTCTCTCAATGTACTCACTGTTCCCTCTTTAAAAGACATGGCACATTTATTCATCCTTAAACCTGCTTAAGCATCCTTAAATCTCCCTTAAACACTTAACTTTCTCAAAACCCCTTAAATCTCCCTTAAACGTCCCTGAAAATGTCCTTGAATCTCCCTAAATACCCTTATACACTTAAGCATCCTTAAATCTCCTGCAAACAATCTTAACTTTCTCAAAACCCCTTAAACCACCAGGAAATGTCCTTGAATCTCCCTAAATACCCTTCATATACACTTAAGCATCCTTAAATCTCCTGCATACAATCTTAACTTTTCTCCAAACCTCTTAAATCTCTCTTAAACCTCCCTGAAAATGTCCTTAAGTGCCCATCAATGTCCTTAAATCTCCCTAAAAGACTCTTAAAATACACTTAAGCATCCTTCATTTTCCATAAAACTCTCTTAGCCTCCCTGAAAATGTCCTGAAACCACCTTGAATCTCAGATAAAGACCCTTAAAATACACTTAAGCATCCTTAAATCTCCTGCAAACAATCTTAACTTTCTCAAAACCCCTTAAATCTCCCTTAAACCCTGAAAATGTCCTTAAGTGCCCAACAATGTCCTTAAATCTCCCTAAAAGACCCTTAAAATACACTTAAACATCCTTTAATCTCCTTCAAACAATCTTAACTTTGGCATAATGTATTTTGGATGCACGGTGCCTCTACTGGAAACAGCAAGATGCAAACTGTCAATATAAATAAATACAAATCAATAGTGTGAAATCAATAGTGTGAAATGGAGTGAAGCTCTGTAG